CTATTATATTTCATACATGTTTTTTTTTTATTATTTATTTGTATTTATAAATTAGCGTAAGAGTTTGTTTCACTAAGCCATTTTGTACCAGAAACAGTTGAAGATAACAGATAATGTAATTTGTATGAACTACTAGCGGCCCGCCCCCGCTTTGCACGGGTCCAACTATCTCGCTATTAAAGGGTCACTTTTTCCTAATCTTCCCCTCTACTTTTCTAATATTTTCTTTGATAAGAACCTTCTCCTGACAATAACAAACACAACAAAAAAAATATTATCAAAATTGGTCTAGGCGTTGTTGAGTTATGCGCTTACCAACACATTTTGCGATCCATTTTTATATATAAGAGGATATACGCGTGGTATATCTTCTTATATATAAGAAAGAAGTTTGTAGTAATTTTACTAAGGTAGTGAAACTTGCATACATAGCTCTTGTTGATTTTCGTTTTTTTTATTGCTATTGTATTTAACCTTAAATATGACTAAAATCTATATTATACATAACCATCGTTATGTTACGAATTGTTGCAAATTCTATGTAAATAAATAGAACTCGATTAACTTACAGATCATATTGAAAGTTTACAAATGTAGCGACGAAATAAGAGAATATGGTTTTGTTTAAAAAAATATAAAAAATAAACAGGGCATAAAACACACAGAATAAAACTACAAACACCTGTGTATATCATTGTTAATTTACGCTAGCAAAATTATTTTATACATTACCATAGCTGTATTATCCCTAACACGAACTAAACAAGTACCCAGGGCGCCAGGCTACGGGGGCGCTAAGGAGCACCGTGCCTGTAGCCATTGAAGCGGATTGTATTAAGCAAATTAGGGCGCGACTATGAAGCACTTGCTCAGAATGCTCACCAGGTAAAATCCACCTCTGAATACGATACCTAATAAAACTATAAGTACCTACAAGGTACATACTTCGTCTTACTGAACAAAAACTAAATTCACCTAAAGATTCGTTCAAAAACGTGTCTTTTTTTAAAAACATTTTTTTTACTGCTTCTGTCTTACCTTAAATTCTTTCTATGTAAGTCCGTAGATGGGGTCACGCTTTTATATAAAATTTAAAAACATATCTAGCAACCTTTTATACAACTCAAAGACAGTACAAGGCTTAGGTATCAATTCACAATCAACAATTTCCAAATTGTACGAAGTATAATTTCATAAAGTATTGCCTAATCAAGTATTCCGAATTGATTTACCATATAATTTTCTAAATAGATATTGTACAATAGGCCAATGTTCAGCATGAACATCCATGTGAACTGGAAAATACCATGAAACATGGTAATGTGATGTGGTATTTTGACTTTCAAATATTGGGTAATAGCGTAGCATTTACCATAAAAATTTACCATCGAAAGTAGCTAACAGGTATGTAATCTATATATTTAATCGAGGATAATCAACATTGATTGAAATGAGTTGTATTTAACATAATGTTTTACCATCATAATTGTCATAAAAGCCGTCAACAAGACATCGACAATCACGTCAGAACTTAGCCCACCCTAATGGCCCCCAGATGGGCTAGTTGAACAAGGTGGATGTTAACGCTACATAGTATACAAAAAAATCGATTTCTCTTTCTCTACATCCCTATGTGTGCTTAATTCTTTAAAACTACGCAACGGATTTTGTTGCTATTTTTTTAAAGTAGAGTGATAGAAAAGAAAGATTTGTATGTATAATTATATCCAGTAAATAGTAGAAAATAAACTATCAGCATTGCACGTGCAAAAATGGGGCGGGTTGCTAGTTAAAAATAAATTATTTAAAGGTGACCAAACATGTACCTCTCTAGGGTTTGCCGTCCGGATATCGCAGTTATGTCACCAAAACTTGGAAGAACTGAATCTATATTATAAATATAAAAAACTCGGATTCGTAAGTACCTATAGTAAATTCTATAGGTAGGTATCCAAATCTAAAAATGCTAAATTTCACATTTCTTGGTAGATGGTAAAGTTTAAAGTACCTACTTACGTATCATTGTTCCTTTTCTCCGTGAAAGGTATAAGCAGAGGAGAACATTTTGTCAGGAGTTTTATGTACAAGAAAGACTCCTAAGACCGGACTATTTCAGGGAAATTTCGAATAAAAAATCACTAGAATGCTCTTTACTCAAAGCCATCAACCAGCAGTAGCGCATGAACTTATAACTAGGTAATCTAGGTACCCATTAGTTTACTAACACCAATAAAGAATGGTAAAGTTTATGTTGGTAAGAGAATTCGTTACCATTTAGTAAGACACATATTTTACTTTTCTTCTTGCGCTTGTATGTATGATGTAATAAAGACAGATTTAAAATATTTATATTAATAGACCTACTTTTTATTTACTGTTCTGTGATTTTAACTAGATGAAAACTTTAGAATTTTCTAACTTATCTAATTTAATTTATTTTTAACAAACAATTTGTTATTCGATATCTATATTTCAGCGCCTATCGTTATGTATAAATTTCAATTGATTTATTAAATAACATATATTTATTGCAGCACATTTTTAAAACCAATAATACGGACTTAGGTCACCTAGATCAAAGTTTAAGACCTAAGTTGAATTAAAAGGGTTTTATTTAAAATGTATGTACCTTTATATACTTCTATGTTATAAGCTATCCCAGATTGTAAGAAAAATCTTGAATAATCTAAAAAAGTTTGGAATACCTAACTTTGTACCTAGGTAGGTAGGTACCTACCTTGGTAAGTACCTAGATTTATCTAAAGGTATCTAGTGCCGAATTTACAAGACTATATATAAAAGTAAACATTATTTCGCCTAATAATATTTTTGAATGCTTTAGAGATTAGGGGATTTATAATTGCAAATTGTAAATCTGACGATTTGAAAAGGCCTATATAGTGGTAAAGGTCTACTTGTCATAGACAATTTAACTTACAACTCACCGAATTACGATGAACTGAGGAGGAAAACAAATGGAATTTTTGTACCATACCTACTTAATTGTTTACCATTTTTGAATAGTAGGTACCTTAGTAGGTATCGTGTGACAACCAAATTTGAAAATAACGATCATCTTATTTAGGTACCTACTAGTTTTATTTAGCAGGATTCGAGCAGCGTGCGCTTTAATTTCTAAGAGTCCCGTTGTGACATGAAATTTGTAGAGATTTTTTCAGTTAAATTCAAGTGAATAGGAAAGTTGTTATTTTCAATATTTCACCATTTATTAGTCCACGTTTTTTTATGTTATAGGTTGGCAAATGAGCAGACGAATTACCTGATGGTAAGCAATCACCGCCGCCCATGGACACACGCAACATTTAAAGAAGTTCTTGTCAAGTGCGTTGCCGGAATTTTAGGGATAAAGGTTTAGGATATTTAGGGATTGGGAAGGGATAGGTGGGGGAGGGATTGGACCACCAATAGATAACCTCACTCACACGTCGAAACACAATGCTTTGCTGTGGTTGTTCCCGTCGGTTTTCTATGAGGCCGTGGTATCATTCTGGTCGAGCCGACACATTCGCGCCAAAGCTTGGCTATCTCACTCTTAAATACGTTTTTCATGATCTTGTTATTGTAATCAAGTACTTTTGACATAAATTCAGGCCACAGGACTTAAAGTACTTTTGTAAAACATTACTAAGACTAAAGGCACTTGTGTACCTATCTATTTTCTTATTTCTCGATTACGCAATTAAAGACACAATACGCACAAGTACATTAATAAAATAGAAAAAGGATAAAGTATGAATAAGGTATTAGGTAGGTAGGTACCTACTCATCTAAAATGGGCGCAGCCATACTATGAGGGATGTGCAGCAGCACCTAACAAGATGGGAGTTATAAGTTTAACCTTTGAACCTAACAATACGTAAGAACGTTTCGCGCGAACTCGAACGCGTTCGCTAGGGTTTGATGAATTAAAATCAGTCTTGTAAGTAGTGCCTTATCTTTTCAACCCTGTTTTACTACCTCAGCTCTAAGATTTTCAAGTGGGGTTGTGAATCAAGTACAAAATGTGTCGCCGCCTAGGCCTGAAGTGGAGGACGAACGGTGGTTTAAATTCACTCTAGTCTGACACTCCCTCTCGTCCAAACTAAAGAAAGAATTTCAAATCAAAAAAAGCTCTATACTTTTCTGTCATTGATCGTCATTAAAGCATAGCATTTTCGATGTTAGGAGTTTTCGATATTCCGCCGATATAGTAAATATGTGCCTTTAAACTTTCTTTTTGTAACGAGAACTTAGCATACCTATCTACCATCGTTAAGTTAGATCAATCAATTTAGTACAGACAGTGAAAGAGATCAGAAAAAAGCCTATATATAAGCTTATCGCCACAAATATTATTATAATTATAGTGAGTTCTTGTTATCTAGTATTTTTGCGGGGTAGGTTAGTCGGCAGCTATAAGCAATCAGCGCTGGCTATTGAAACCCGCAACATCATCAAGTGCGGTTTTAGGCCTTTTCTGCTATGCAGGGAGGATTTGTCCCTGCGGAGGAGGGATGGCGAAGGATTGGGCTTTTGGGAAAATATTGTTGGGATTTAATTATTACTTTAACATTTTACTTATGAATCAAGGAATAATTCCAATTACAATCGTTTTGGAAAAAAATGACATAACTTCATTTTCTTGTAAAGGTAATAATAGGACTCCCAACTTATATCTCATAATAATTATATCTTATGTAGCACCCACCTACGTACCTAAAATTTATAAATGTGTTATCTTTTGTGCTGTATAATTATGTGTATTTGAATATATAACAATACGCTTATTAGTTAATAACAGATTAACTAGAACTTGACAAAAAAGATTGACAAGAACCCATTAACGAGCATGTGAGTTATTTACACTTATTATTACACAGTTTTTCAAACCTCAAAACAACTGCAGCATAAAGTAACAAAACATTTAAAAGAATGGACTCAAAAGACTTGTTTCCAGATTTGTAAATGTTAGACATTTGACAGTTAATAGCTGTCACCTTCTTGACTCGTCTGTCATTTCTTATCACTTATGTTTTGAGGTTATTGAAATGCCGCAGTGTTTTTGCTACAGTTAATAATTAACTTTGATACGTTTATTGTATTAAGCTTTACTGTCGTACTCTTATCTTAAATGAAATTGTGTTCCTAATTTATCATCTAAGAACTTTTCGACCAACCATGGAGGAAACAGAAGCAAAAGAATTCGATGCCTCAATAGGTGGCACGGAACACCTACCTTTTTCAGCGAACAGTTTAAGATTTGCGTCTTCTAGAAGTGTTGAAATAGCTGCAATGACTGAGAGTATTCTGAGGCCAAGTAAATCTAAACTTATATTCCAAACACTGCCTGTTCACATGAGGCGCCGTGTTATGAGCCACAACTGTAAAAGATTACCTCGTAGGTTGCGAAGAGGTCATTTAGAACAACTGAAGAAAAGTGGTTTACCTCCTAAGCAAAAGCGCCCGTCAAGGAAATATAGACGAAGACCGGCAAATTTATTGGAAGAGTATAATAGACGACAGAGGCAACATATTTGGTTAGAAACACACATATGGCATGCAAAGAGATTTCATATGACTGAACGATGGGGACATCGACTACCGTATGCGCCATGCGACAAAGCTTTTCGGGCTTGTTATAGAGGCAGCTCTGCTCACTGCCTCCTGCAAGATATCTCTTATTACACACCCATTCAGATAACAGGGACAGTTGCACAGATTAAAGAAGTGTTTGCTAAGATTACTAGCTGTATGTGTGGTCTTAGCATTGGTGCTATGGCTTACATCAATGGCACAAGACAAGGAACTGTACACATCTATGGAGTAAACACCTTTCCATTTGGTTATGTTGGGAAAGTAGAGTTTATTTGGGTCCCAAGTGATAGTATCAGTAAAACTTTGTGGCTTTTTGTCCATCCATCACAAGCCAGTATAATACAATCGGTTTTAACTGATGCATCCTGTTTACAAGATAATAATGATTATGAAGTAGCAAAGAAAAAGAGAAAAGTTGACAGTGTAACAGGGAGTATTGAAATAAAAGTGATGCAAAGGTTTAATAGATTTCGACTAACAGGGCCAAACAGCCATGCAATATTGGCAGAGAGTTTGAAATGTGTTAATGAAGATCTTATTAAAAATGCCAAATGGACCTTACTACATAAGCCTAAAGATTTGATAGAGAAAAATGAATATTGGGAAACAATAAGTACAGCAAAGTCTCCAGCACAGCTTCCTTCTCATATGGTTGTGGGATTAGTTGTAATAGATCCTCGTTTGAGAAGACCTAGACACCGCACTAAAGCAAAACAAAATACAGACACAGAAATTAATACAGACACTTTGCTTAAAATTCCACCTTTTCTCTCAAACTCTCCGCTATGGGATATGAGAATACATGAATCAATAAAAAAGGAGTTAATGACTAATGGCCAGTTTGTTAAACACATAACCAGAAACAATCTTGTCCCCGGTGCAGTAGATGAAGATGATCCAGCACTACAGTGCATACCTGTTGTATTGGTTCAGAGACCTGGCTCCCAAAACTCAGAATTTAAAAAACTTGGTATGCCCTCTATTCCTTTATTTAAAAACAATCTTTCTTAATAGTTGATAGTGGTTATGGTTTATAAGTATGGATGTTACTTGATACATTTTCATGTTAAAAGTATTGAATGTATTAAATAGAATTTGACAAAGATAGATTAAACCCTGCAATACGTAGTACTTTACTTTTACCTTGTAAATTGCAATAAAACTAGTAACAACATAAATTTACATTCCCATGTAAACTTATCTATACGAGAATTAAAAGTTCCCTATCATTTTAATTTAGAATAATTTAAAGGCGACAGAATTTGGAGTTTTCCTGGTCAGCTAGTATGATATTAAACTTCAAGACTTATTCTACAAGAAGTGTTCTAACTGTATTCATTAAATATTTCTTCAATAGAATACAAATTAATCTAACTCTTTGTAATTGCAGGATATGGCAGTGGATGGGACATTATAATACCTTCAGGATATGCCCTTCCTTTCTGGTTAACATTCATCATGTTTGGAGCAAGATCAGGAGGCCTACGAGAAACAGAAAGCTTAGCTTTTGAAATGGGAGAGTGCTATTTTCCACCAGATTCAAATGCAGGGAAAGAAAATGAAAATCGAATAGAATCAGAAATGCGAGATAGATACTTCAAGCTACCACCAAGTAAAAGGGTCAACTACAATAAAATTGCAATTAATAGCCCTTTTAGGTGTCCTTGGAACATATTGCTTAGTGATTGGAGTGATGATAAAACCGATGAATTCTTTGTTTTAAGGAATAAAACTATGTTGAATGAAATACAGGTAGTTGTCTCAAAATTACTTAGAACTGCCAAGTAATTACATAAATTCAATCTAATTTGATGTGTATTGTTTCTTTTGATTTCAGGACTGCATAACCCAAAAGAAACACATACCAAATATTGAAAATGCCTCTATGTGTTTAGTTCCAGTTTATATAAAAATAACAGCCAAAGGTAGTTTACAAAGACATGCACTTATCTGCTTGCCTGAAGTAAGTGACCTGGTTAATGTGAAGACATTATTTGAACCACACCATGAAGACCCCAATGAAAATACCAGAAAATTAAAACGCAAAGAACATATTAAGTCTTTAAAGAAAATCAAAAAGAAAACTTATAAACTGAAGAAGAAACTTCAACAAGAAAAAAAACCTGTAAGTTTGGAAGATGAATTTTGTACCATAAATATGTATAACTTGATGTCATGTTCTTTACTTATCTATTGAATATTTCAGATGTACACAAAGAAGTTACGTAAAATACATCGACAAGAGCCTTCAGAGTATGTTAAGACAATGAGAGAATTGTGGCTTTCATCCCAAATAGAAACGGTACGCAAAGTCGGCGCCAGAGAAGTGATGGGCTATGTTGTCCAAGGTGCTTTCAGTTTCACTGAAGCCAGTAGTTGTGGTGTAGGATACATTGCTTATAATGCATTGAAACACCTACTGGACACTGGGATAAATCAAGTTCTTGTAAGGAACCCAACATCGAGAAAATACAGACTAGCAAATATAGTAATCATAAGAAATACGTAAATAAAAATCATATTTTATAAAATTATGCATTTATTTTTTTCACTAATTATGTTATTACATATTCTAATCACCATAAAAACCTACATTTCTAGGTTTCACCTTCGGTTTAGGATGAATAGCAAAAATAATTTACTTTCAAACTCTGTCAACAATATTATATTGATACGATACACCCGCATTCTCTTTCAGCACAACAATGATTTAGGAATAAGTCAGTTGTAACATATTATAAATATTCTCAAGATTGTTTATTTATGAGATTTCTTTAATATATTAGCATGATACTAGTACATTACAATGTAAATGCTTAAATTTGTACGAGGTCAACTCTGTCCAGAGTAAAGGTTTTCCTATAACTATGGTTTTACATTAAAATGCGTACATCGAATTTATTGGGATAGCCCCGCGGATACAGTATACAATGTATGCTACTACAGACAGACTCCAGGCAAAACTGAATGTTCGGCTTTAGCCGAGACGGGCAACATCATGAGCTGTACACAGGCCCACTGTACCGCCAACCCTAGATCTTAGACCGCTTCCTAGCAATAGCGTCCTCGACCGCCTTCAATTGTTTTAACAGCTCCTCTCGTCTCGATACAGATTTCTTCGCAGGTCCCGAATTTACTGGAGATGTCGCCGCACGTTTTTTGCCGCCGCCGGATTCTGTAAAGTTATTTATTGTCATACCTCATCCCCACAACAGCAAAAGCTAAAACGATTTGAATCTCATTTAACACAAAATCACTTAGTTTTCCAAAACGTTTAATCATAGGTTTAGATTATAAATAGTGCAAACTGTAACGAAGTTAATAAGAAGCCAGACTTAAATATATAAACTTACCTTTATCACTTGGAACTTCCTTCTTGCTGGTAACAGTCGTCACAGCCGCTGCCAATCCAGCTCCCGTCTTTGCATTTAACCTGAACAGCAAATACAATATTAAATATACAACATTAAACAAACAAACAATACTTTTTTTTTTTATAAGTCAAGAAATAATATTTTTCGTGGCTGACAATCTTCGAACAAGAGCAAGATATAAATTCTTGGATACACAAAAATATTGGTCGCACATGTGTCCAATATTTTTTACAAGTATATTAATGAATACAATATTAAGATAATATCACAATATACCAAGTATTATTCAATCTTTCTCACCTGGGTCTGGCAGCTGCATTGAGCAGACGAGCGTGACGTGCACGCCGAGCCCCGGAACTGCCCGATGATGATGAAGAATGTGATTCGCTCTCCGACTCGCTTGATGACGACGATGATTCTAGAAAGAAACCAACAGGTTTCGGTTAGCAATTTTGTTTAGAATTTGAATTACCAAAATAATCTAATTCACTAAATTGGTACAGACATGAAATCAGAATCATAAATACCTGAGCCTGAAGACGAAGATCGGGAATATTTCTTCCTATCCCTGTTGCGACTTGATATTTTGTTGCGTCCATAGGGATCCATTTCATCCTGTAAGGAAACATTTATTTATTATTGTAAAAGTTATTTCTTAACAGATAATTGGTTAGATTTGATTGGATGATTCTCGATGATGATTGAGATTTTTAATGTGCTTATAATGACTTAAGTTAGTCATAAGCTCATTAAAAATCTAAAATTCTAGGATTCTGTCCTCGATTTGACAAGTGTTATTATCTGATAATAATAGCACGCAACCGGGGTTTGAAGTCGATGCTTTAAAAACTGCCTATTGTATAGGATTCATTTTTGTTCTCGGCCTACCTCATCTGGGTGTAAAAGGCGTGGTGTTCGCGACGAATACACAGCAAATATGATATAATTGTATTATAGATAGAGGGTCGTACCTTATGTCGATGTAGAGCATGCGATGCGGGGGGCGGCGGGTTGGCGGAGAGCTGTCGCGCGGCGGCCGGGGAGGGCGCGCGTCGCCGCGGCGCGGGCGGGTTCATTGCTGTAGCGCGCGCCGTCGCCAGGCGACGCTCGCGGACTATTACTGATGGAGACAACCTGAAATATACGAAACAAGTTAGGCAGGCAAATATATTTAGAGCTGAATCATCTGAAAATAAAATAGCAATGTTTGAATTTTAAATAATATTTGATATTGATATGACGTTTTTTTACAAATACTTTTGAATACAATATAGTTAAACGAAAATAAATTGTATCTCACCTTTGCCTCGAAGAAGAAGATGCCCTTCTCTTGCGGCGCGCACTAGGAGACCTCGAACTTCGGGAGCTGGAATTTGAAGAGCTGCGGGGTGAGGGGGGCGGAGCGAGGGGGGGCATGTCGAGGGGTCATACATGTCACATGGCACATGCGCACACGGCACCACAGGCCCACAGTACAATGAGACAAGAACGAGCATGCATGGTTGTTAATACAGAGATTAATATGATAGTGATGAAGTATCGAACACCGAAAACACCACGACATTAGACGAGTTATGAAAGCGAAACCCATCGCCCAAGGGGAAAGGACGAAGCGGGAGAAAATATACAATTAGATTTTTTTCCATAGTAAATATTGTTGGCTACCTTGAATTGTTTCAATTTGTTTCCGTAACTTTTTGGCCTACTATCATACAGTAATAAGTTTATCACCTTTATTTGCACTGGAAAACTTTTTAATGAAATGTTTATAACATTTAAAGAATGATTTGATCCTGGCAAGCTATAGTAAGAAACTTTTTGCATTGCTGCAAATACAACCAGTATAATTATCACCTAGCAATTAATAAAGTAATCTGAATCATACCTGGATGACGAGTATGAATCGTCAGAGGACGGTGGTTTCCGTCTTCTGGCGGCTGGTTCAGCGCGCATCCATGGATCGGCCCAGTCTTCATTACGTCCTTCCCCGCGGCGCACGTCCCGTCCATCTCGTCCATCTCTCATGTCACGGCCTTCACGGCGTTCAACTTCTGCGCGTTGGACTATTACTTCTCTAGATGGTCGTACCCGACGCTAAGAGGTGATAGGAAATCCAAATTACAGTTTTGGTACATTTTATGACAAATTTCATTTTCAGACATTATCATAATAAATAGTTTTAAAACTATACTCAAATAATACAATTTAATCAACATTTTGTTATTTTTTAAAAGCTTATGTCATAGTGCATGCAAAATACAGTCCTAGGAACAACATAACAAGGTTGGATTTTCATTATCTATATATCTATTTATGCATTATAGTGTGAGAAGAGGCCTTTGCTCAGCTCACTTATAGGCTGATGATGACATATATTATCTACATACCACCTAAAATTGTGTTAAGATGGATCGAATTAATACCTTATGGTAAGGTCCTTCTTCTGTCATGGCGAGTCGTTCATCATAATGTGGGACTCTGTCGTACCCGCCACGTTCCCGCTCATACATATGTTCGCGTTCGTAGAAACGTTCCCGCTCGTCCATTTGCGGTCGCGGGAACCGACCACGGTACATTGGTCCGTATGGCCTGGAAAATAAAGTTTATTACTTGCTTGAGACAATAAAATCGATTTTACAATACATAACATAATTTTAAACAATCGTAAAGACTATTTAGATTCATAACTAAACTTTTTCTTCAACACACATTAGGCGAAAATACATTTTTTTGTAACATACCCTCCTCTGAATGCTTCTGGGTCCCTATAATGCGGGGGCGCAGCTCCCTCGTGGTGCCGTGGCGGTGAAGCACCCACTGCTGCCGCAGCGTAAGCGAGTTCAGCGTCCGGGTCGTGCACAACCCCACCCACAGATAGGTGTAGTTTCTTCTCTTCAAAGTCCATGTCTTGTTCCTTACGCTTATTGGCTATGCGAAGCATCTGTTCAAGGATATTGATTTATTAGATGCTAGTTTTTTTTTTTACTATACTTATAATATTGCTTTTCTGGCAGTTTTTGTTAAATTATAGTCACCCTACAATCATTTTGATCTTCTCTTAGTTTTCTGTTAGATAATGGAGAGATTCTTGTTCATTTCCAAAAAAAATACCGGAGTTATCGTAGTCTTTCCTCGATATTTTAAATCTTATCATGTACAATTTGTAAAAAAAGTATCACAACACATACCTTAAAAATAAAAGATCACCCAGCATTTAATTCAATAATAAGTTTTTTTAGATTACACCTTTTCTTACTGGAATGTCTAGGAAAAAACAATAACTAACCTCCTTAGCAGTGCGCAGTCCCCTTTCCCATGCTGACTCAGGCGGAGCGACGTCCCTCGCGGGTGCGGCCGGGTACGTCCCACCCGGGGGCACGCCTCTTACCACGTCAAACATGTTGTAGTTTCCCTTGTCCGTCACACCAGGATGAAGAAACCTTTAATAAATTAAATAGAAATGTATTATTGAAGATTGATAGATTCAAACTTGAAAAGCTTTGAGTTAATAAAATTGTAGCCAAGTTTATTTTTTATGACAATAGAATATTGGTTTAGGTAATTTATTAAATGTAAACAATATTGGCATGTCTTTTTATCGAAAAATGACTAAAAATGTAAGTAGAAATGTTTATAGTCTTGGCCTTGGTAATGGTAGCTAGTAAACTAAATTAAAATAATCTTTGTATATATTTTATATGACCTCTTTAATATAAAAATGTAAACTTTAGTTAACCATCTAAGTGACAGGCCATAGCCTGTTTTTGTTCAAGACCAGTTTCATCATCATCTGCTGGAGTATTGGCTCTTCTAAATACCTGCAAGTGATATATGGCCTCCTTCTATGAAAGCTCAGAGGCCGCTAGGCATTTAAGTTAAAAAAAAATTTAACTACATACCTGCAGCTAACACCCCAAGTACAAGCTCCTCTAGAGAAGAACCGACAGACGGGCCGCGGTTCACTTTCTTCTGGCCGTCTCTCTGCTTCATCCGACACCTCGCCTTCCTCCAGCGAGGAACCGCGAGATCGTACCGCTGGCTTTACTTCCTCTGTTTTCAATTACAGATTAAAATATAATTTATAGTAATATTTTAGCCCTTACGAACTAAGTATGGTATGTATAGAATTTAAAGTTGGAAGTCGATAGAGTCTATGAATGTTTTCATTTCAATGAATAAAACCCAAAAGTTTAATAGCATTTTGTTTTTTAATGTAAATCAGATTTAATGTTCATAAATATTGGGTGTAGATTCCTTTACCTCAGTAAGCACGTAAATTTAACGTTTAATAAATATTACAACATGTGTTTACCTTTTTCTACTCCCTTTTCTTCTGCATCGCCATTTGTAGCCTGTTGTTCAACAGGCTTTGGTTCTATACACTCTCCTTCTTCCGCCTCAAAATCTAATTGTTCCTCGCCATCCTCTGTGTTACTTGTCTTTTCTTGAGGTACCTATAATATTGAAAACAACAACTTAAGAAAAATGCCTTTACATTCAAACTTCCAATAATATATGCTTGATTTACATGAATAATAATTAACTATGAACTTCCTAGAAATTGTAGCAGTGAAATCTAAATGATAAATACATATTTGTATACAAAAATCGTAAAGGAAATGTAATAAAAAAAAAATTAAGCACTTGACAAATTATACCAAAAAACTGATAAAAATGGGCAGACTGAGCATTGAACAGATGATTTATAAGTATGGCCATAGACTAATAATAGTGTATTAGTTTATGGTATGGCTATGCAAGAGCCATAAATGGTAAAGCTGCACCTCTCTTTTATTAATTGAATGAACGCAAGTAGCCAATAGCGCAAAATATTGATAATGAATCACAATGCAAATAATGTTTGTAAACATGGGGGTATTTGCCAATGACCCATGGTAATCAGAGTAAAATACCGGTATTCAGCCGAATCTTTCTAGATTGTTTGCTGATCCCAGTATTGTAAAAGCAATGAAAAATTTAGTTACTTTTTCTAATTTAGGTGTTTCAGCCTTTCCACTTTCTGAACGTGGTGATGACTGATTGCTTGCGCCGTTGACATTTTCTGCTATATGTTCAGGTGATGCTGGAGGAGACTTGGGCTAGAAAATAAATAAACCAAAAAAACTTAATATAGAATACAAACTTATACAGCAACTTTAACTTAAGAACAAAAAATAAAATAAAAATTAGCAATGACAATAACATACTATCCATTCACTAATGAATGACAGTGTATTATGTCAATATTTATTAAATCAAATCAAGGCTTTGTTCCTTGAATAAAAAAAATAAAGTATAGAGATTTATTTCTGCAATTAAAAGATATTGTATACCTTTGAGCTTTTCTCTGTCTCCTCTGGTTCCATGGATTCCAAGTCAGATACATCTGACAAATCCTCATGACTTATATTAAGGTCTTTTCCGTCAGGTTTATCGCTAGTCCTAGATTTACTTCTAGATTTTCTGTCATCTTGGTCTGATTCCATTTCACCTGAAAATAATACCATATGGCATAAATATTGTCAAATAGTAGGTAGAAAATTATAATTTACTACGAATATATTCTTCAATTACCTTCTGAAATTTCTTCGGTAGCAGGATCTTTATTACTTCTTTTATTATATGAAGAGCTTCTACTTGACCGACTAGAATCTGATCTACTGCGTTCACGGGGAACAGGCACCATCTTTTGTTCTGCTTTAGTATGTCTTCTCCACTTCTCATTCCTTTCTTTAGGACTCCAGTCATTACGCTTAGCAGTAGGTGATGTTTGTGGTGATGATCTATAAGACTTTCTATCAGGTGAAGGGCTTGATGAAGGTGACCTCCTGTTGGATTCCCTTGGAGAGTCCGGAGTAGCAGGTCTAGATCTATTGTTTGGTGAACCTTGCGTAGATCTAGCTGGGCTGCTAGGACTCTGTGGTGTCTTTGGGCCCTCTCCAGCTGAGGGGGGAGCTGAAGAGTACTGATCACCATGTCCTGGTGATCCTACATTTGATCCTGCATCACTTGGGGACTTAGGACCACCTGGTGATGCAGGTATTGAATTTTCCGGGGAATTTATATCTGAATGTGCTCCACTCAGGTTATCTGGTGATTGAGGTCTTTCTCCCTGTGTGGGAGACTGGGGAGATGGAGACTGAGAGCGACTCTCTGGAGAGGGTGAACGTGGACCATGAGACCTAGGGGATCTTGGAGATTGTGGAGGGGACTTTGCCCCCTTTTTGGAATGTTCGCTTCTATCTGAAGATGAGCTCCTTCGACTTCTTGAGCTAGTACTGCTACTACTTGATGAAGTCTGATCTCGTGAATCTTCTGAATCCATCTCTGTAAGAATGGAATAATAGTGTGAAGATAATATTTTTTTACACACTGGTCCCAGCCCAAACAAGCATTCTTATAATTTATTTAATGTTATTTTGTTTATTTAATAGCTTAAACCAGTCAAAATATGCATTACCTTATCAAATGTTAGTTCAAACTGTTATCAATGTACTTCAATAGAAGCAAATATCCAATTAAACACGTTTTGGTATTTGATTAAGATATTTTTTTTAAAATCACACTGAGATATGCACCTTGACTTACTGTAAAAGTATTACTATTGAAATCAAATATATAATCCTAACGGCTATTAATTAATGACTATTGCAATCAATTTATAAAAACATTTGTAACTGGATTCAATACTCTAAAAATAAATTGCCATTAAGTAAAAACACCACATTATGATAATAGGTCATTAAGAACATGAACTTAATGACTAAATTCATAATTATCATGGCCTCAGTAACATGCATGTACCTTTGACACAACAACTCACTCTTTTGTGTAATGTAAGCAGGTTATAAAATCAGTATTTGAAAACTTAGTATAAACATTTACTGAGTGACCCATTTTTTGCTACCTACCCTATCAAGTAATTTCACATAAATGTTACTTTAAAATGAAATGAAAAGGAAAAAAATACTGATGTGGATTTTATGTGTAATAAAAGATTTCTCAAATTATTCAAAGAATTTTGTAAATTTTTACTCTGATAAATTGAAATAACAGGGTAAATGCTACGTTGTGATGTATATTGGAAGACACATCCAGCCTTACCTTCACGAAGACGCCTTGAAGCCAGAATTGGTTGCACTTTGAAACACTTTTCATATTGCAAAGATTTTTCAACTTTTATAACCACAACACATACGAAACTTATGTCTGTCACATATATACTATACTTTTTGAACGTTATACTGACGAAAACTTATTAAAATCAACACTACTTCAACATGGCTGTGATACTGAAGGAAATATATGAACATAATAAATAATCACTTTCCAGTACTTCCGTAGGGTTAACTTACGCCCTTACCTTTACTGAGATGGATTAGACGGTTAATTTCTTGAAGTAATTGTAATTTATAATTAAAATAATCCTCTATTTGCGCCGCTAACGATTCTCTCTCAACGAAGCGAAGTCATCAAAACCATAGATAAAAAATACAAATCAATCAAAAGACAAAGTGACGCTGCGAAATAGTGTTGTACGTAATATAAAGTTACTAAACACTCTATGGTCAAATGTTAAAAACCGTAAAATATTTACAGTGGACACATCATCTTTATTCTTGGAAGTTTTTATATTTGTACGCAAATAGTTTTATTGGGTCTACTATAATTTGAAAGGCATTATGGTGTTATCTAAATGATACTAAAAGTCCCATGTATCAATCATTAAAAAACTTGGTGAATCAGAAAAAAAAACCAAATCCGCGGCAATTTTGTTTAGCTGCAAACCCACTTTCAAAAATCTGAACAGTGCCAGTATCACATTACTTTACTATTCTATATTTATTTATATCTTAACAATGATTGAACAAGCTCTTGACGATAATATATCGGATAACGACGAGGAAGAAAGCTTTTTTCAAGATGTAGACATACTACAGAAGCATGGAATTAATGTAGCCGATATTAAAAAACTCAAGGCTGCTGGTATTTGTACAATAAAAGGCATACAGATGTCGACAAAGAAAAAGTTATGCAACATCAAAGGATTTTCCGATACCAAAGTAGACAAAATAAAAGAAGCATGCCAAAAAGTTGCTACACTTGGTTTTATGACGGCATTAGAAGTTAGTGATCGCCGGAAACAAGTTTTTAAAATCAGTACAGGAAGTTTAGAGTTAGAGTAAGTATTATGTCGAGTTTATCGTCCATACTTTTATTTATTGACATAATGTCACTTCTCCAACTGACGGCTATGATAAAAACTTAAGGCGGTTATCATATTTCACAGTGGTTCGTTAAGTGTGGTCTGCACTTGCACGTTTCCGATAAATGAGTGCCATTGACGTAAATAGCATTGAGTACTCCGATGATACATAAACATTATCAGGGTGTTACTATTTTTTTTTAAATCTACATGATAACAAAATACGTGTCATGAGTCATGGGACTTACGATTATGAAACAATCGATGAAAAGATAGCTACTTACTAAGAATAGTTCAACTACCTATCACAATATCGTATGAAATCATATAAGATGTTGCATGTAATTAAAAATTTTATGTCAACTTAAATCTTTTTAATACTTACCCGATGAGTCCAGGTCCTTGGACAATTTTTCAAAAGACTCAATGGAACAGTTAACAGTAAGTGTATAATGTTAGGGTTAGGTATATTATATTACATTAGGGTGGGTACGTTACTAGGTGGCCTATCGGCTGCCTACTAACGTCGTACTTAGAAGTTATGAATGTAATTTGTTGAGAACATTCGATATGTATCCTACTTACTTAGATATTAATGAGCATAGAAACTTAAAATGTTCTTCAATACGATATAATAAAACAAACATTTATGTTCAACACATCACTACATAATACACGATGGCTTTTTCTTAAATAGAGTGCTATCGATTTGTAGATACGAATTCAATTTACTTTATTGTTGACTTGTCAATTTATTACGATCATACAATTGAAGTATATTCATATTTTAATATATTATGATCTAAGTAGATTCGTAGTTACCTACACACATACATACTATATAACTTTCATCATTTATTATGCTTTTTGGTCAATATTTATGATTTTATCTATTTGATTTTCAAATTCAAGTGGTCATAAAGTATTGTAAAACCAATTGACCGTTAACTGGAAAACTAAGTACCTATCTAAGTAACTAGACACAGACTATCTCAACTATATACTACTGGATTTTCTTACTGACTTACTAATTCCTAGGCGAGAATAAATCTACTTAGATACTTAGTTTAGTTATATTATATTTCTTTATAGCAAATTACTGGCTGGTGGTGTAGAATCAATGGCCATTACTGAAGTATTTGGGGAGTTTCGAACAGGAAAAACTCAGTTATCCCATACTCTATGCGTCACAACGCAAATACCAAATGCGACGGGCTACCACGGCGGTAAAGTTATGTTCCTAGACACTGAACATACTTTGTATCCTTTTTAAATATTTTATGAAGTTCCAGCTAATTCCAAAATATTTTTAGATTATTAGAGATAGGCCATGTGCCTATATATCTACCCTACCTAATATCCACAAGGAATAGCGATGATCGAGGTCAGTGCCGGCGTTGGGGAATCTTGATGGGGCGACGGCTCAGGGCGACTAGGTCTGGACTTGGAGTCTTCTGCCTCTCGTCTCGTGATTTGCGGTGCCTACGTTTCTACATTTTCAAAATTTGTCTACAATATTGTAGGAATAGATGTTATTCAATTAAGATGTGCACTAATGCGTCATTAAACGAAGCAGAAATATAAATAATATTTAATATTTTTGGGCAAATAATATATAAACTCGCAATTACAAATCAATCCGATAGAGATGACCTACCGTCAAAGACAGGGTAGGGGCCTACCTAAAATAAATTCCTACATTAAGAAATTGATTTCATACATAATGTAGGAATTTATTTTATTATCGAAAATTTTGGTCGCCATAAGTTATTGATCCAATCCAGCCATCTTAAATGACCCGTACATTCGTTTGTCGTGTGCCTGTATGTTTGTGACAACCGGTCTTGCTATTACTTCCCTGGTAGATACAAGGTCTCTTTAGATGCGGCGATGGTCGACTGCTTTGTAAAGATAAAAAAACAGCAATAAGATTGACATTATATAAAATGCTACCTATGCTTAGACTTTTGAACAAAATAGGTGTATAGATTAAGCGACATAATTAATTTGGGTGCTTTTCATATAAGTAGGTACTAAGGTATACTTGACTTGACAAAACTAAGTTGCCGTTCTCAAAGACATTTAATATTTTCTTTAATTATTCCTTAGTAAGTCATGATTTTGTACCGGAAACTATTTTTATTGAGAATAGGAATGATTCTGAGTAGATACCACGAAGTTGACGAAGTTTACATAAAAAATATATTATAGGCAAATATATCAATGGCGATTTCCAGTTAACTAAAATACCAGTTTACTACACACAAAGAATAAAGAAACACCAAGCACGTGGATATCATGTAGCCTGCATTAATCCGATTGGAATACTAAAATAACCATTTAAATATTTATTAAAAACAACTCCATTCATTAGATATTATTTCCTCGTAAATGTTGATGTAGGGAGCTGCCGATTACGTCATTGATAATTTTTAGTAGTAGGAAATTTATTTAAATCTTAATTTATAAAAAAGTCTTTGTGTATATTTTATTTTATTTTCATAATAATTTAACCGGTTTTAACAAAGAAACGTAGCGCTTTGATAATTTTGAATATAGAATTTTGTATCTAGTTTTTCTGGGTCGAATTCCTATTGTTGATCGTTACATTGGATTATTAAAGCATGGAGTTGTTGGTATTCCTAATTCAGTAGTTATAGACTGTAAGTATGTATTTTTTTAACCAACCACAATGTGATCAACCCCAGCATCACACAATACCGAGGTTGCGGGGCAAGCAGCCTCGGCCCAGAGTAGGAAAAGGAACGGGGGGTTTTAGTCAGTAAGAGTCTGACACTCCCACCTCCCCGTCCCTGGGCAGGAGAAGTCATTTGATGATTTATCCCTAACAAAAAAAAACCATTGTGTGTTCGGATTAGCTGCGGTAGGTATGCACATTGCACATGTCATGTATTTTTCTAATATATAAAGAGTTCAATTAGCGTTTCTAACTAAGAAATAAATCTCAAAGTAATTTACATTTGAATCATTTGTATCATTTTTACTTTACCAACTGCATTGGAACATCAATAGCTATCTAATTCCTTAACAATGCACCAGCCGTCCTGACCGGCTTCGGCCAATTGCGGACAGATTCAATTTAGACCAAAGCGCAGTCTTAGATAACGTGCTGTATGCTAGAGCATATACTTCGGAACATCAGGTTAGTAACCCTAATTTACTGCTATTTTAAACCTTTAAACCCTTGTGTATATAAAACTTTCAGCGTGTAATATGTGTGTGTAGTTCCTGTGTGGGAATGGGGATGAATATGGTCTAATACCATATTTTTGAGGCTTTGTACCTCTGTAGTTTCTCAGGAATTCTGGGACTGTCATACATCTGTAAGTTCTGTATAACTCTATCAAGGAGTTCCAACGTTTTGAGAGCAACGATTTTCTGCCTGCCATAGCGGATTTTGGATAAAATTAAGTGAGGTACTATTTGATACTAGTCAGCAGCATTTCAATTTTTTTTTTTTTTTTTGTTTTTTAAAAAAAAACGTTGCCCCACTTTAGGATTTTCTCCTGTGTTGTGGGTGCGTTTACAAACATACAATGTCACATACACATTTTCAATTATTGACTGAACGGATGGCTCGACGGCTGGGTAACCGGCTACGTTGTAACGTGTCGCGAGTTCGATTCCCGCACGGAAGACTTGAATAGAACAATACCTGTAGAGTAAAGAAAACATAGTAACAGCAAGACTATATTTTAACATAATTATTTATTTACCTTCTCAAGGCGGAATTGTTAGACTACGTGGCAGCCAAATTTCACGAAGAAGCTGGAGTATTCAAGCTTCTTATTATAGACTCTATTATGGCCTTATTTAGAGTCGACTTCTCCGGACGTGGCGAGCTGGCTGACAGACAACAAAAATTAGCACAAGTTCTGTCACGCCTACAAAAGGTTTGTTTAAGCTTTTTTTCAATACTCATCGTGACTTGAGCGTGCCTCTAAAATGTCATGATTGCATGACTACATAGTTATAAATGCCGCTGTGTAGATAAATATAAGGCTTATTTATAAATTTACAGAGCTACTAACTCGAATGAGGGCCCATTTACTATGCCTTACTGTAGGAATCATCCAATCTATTGAACGTACCTAATCATAAATTTGAGCCTGCGGAATAAATAGGCACTTACATACCTACCTACAGTACTTATACAGAGAAATCAGCTGATGTTCCTATATGAATACAATATTGATACTGACTGACTCAACTGATAGCATTTTTTGGTCACGCGAATTACGAATGGTCGTATATATCTAGATATAAAAATAAGAGCATCGT